GTTCTGAACAGGCGGCGCAAAGCAGCCCTGCGGCGCGCGTCGCTCTTCAACCACTCCGGCGGGCGCCCCGCCGCGGCTTGATGGCCACCTTGAAGGCAAGAGCGCGCCCGGGTCTCAGCAGCTGCCGGCGCTCAAACACGCGGACGCACGCGCGTGCGTGCGCGCGCAAGCGCGGCGCGCGCGCACCTGAAGATTGTGAGGGCCAGGCACGTCTCCATGATCGCGCTGGACAGCTTCTCCTTGACTCTCTCCAGCTCTATCTCCCGCAGCGACCCCAGGAAGACCTGCCGGGCAGAGCGGAGCAATAGCCAGGCCGGCGGTTGGCGGCGGCGACACAATGGGTGGGCCCGGGCCGAGAAGAACTAGGGGCCGTGGCGCCGCCGCGGTGCGGCCGCGGGGCCGGCCGCTGCGGGCGTCGGGTCGGTGGGGTGGCGCCGGCCTGGGTTGGGTCGCTGGGTGCGTGTATCGGCCCGAGGGGCGGCGGTTTGAAGCGGGGTGGGGGTGGTCACATCATGGGGGGGACTCACCTTGATCACCAGGTTGTAGAGGCAGAGCGCCGTCGCAAAGCTGAGGTTCCCGACGACGGCAACAGCCAGCTTCGACGTTGACAGGTACAGCGTCGCCGGGAAGAAGCTGCGCGAGCACGGGCGGGGGCAAAGGGGCGTGCGCAGCGTGTCCAGTTGTGCGGTCCGTTGCGGCGCTTTCAAGGGGCCCCTGTTCGTCCCCCTGTGCTGCGACTGGCCGAGGGACGGCCTGCCAAGGCTGCAGGCGAATCACTCAATGCGCTAGGTATAGATCGGGCTCGGCGAGGCACGCTCACTGCCTGCGGGTAGCGAACGCGTGGTAAAAGACAGCAGCGGCCACGAGGGCGCTGGTGACGACATAGTTCCTCAAGCTAATCATCCTGAATAAGCAGTCACACGTGCTGTGGGCTCAGGGCCTGCGACTACGATGCGGCATGCTGCTTTGCGTTGGGATGATCTGTTGAGGAGGGTGTGCAACGGGGATAGCAAGCTCAATTCAATCCGTAAGTCACGGGCTGCCACCGCACGGCGAGGGGGAGGTCTGCATGAAACAAGTGCCTACGTCAACCACTCACCGGGTGTGCTGCATCCATTTCTCTGCCAGCAAGATCCAAGACTTCAGTGCTTTGTGTGCGTCGCGTCTATTTCCTACGTGACAGTTACACGCATGAGGATGTTCTGCACCTGCGTCCTCATCTAGATATCCGCCATGCTGAGGCCACGAAGTCTCGGGGCCTTTCAGGCCGCCCGCTGTCCCTCCTGCCCGCCGAGTTGTTTCGTAACACTGTACCACAGCGTGCGGGCTGAAGCAACGGCAGTGGCGGAAGCCCCCACCGCCACCGAGGCTTCGCATGACGCTTTCAGTGTGTGGGCCGGGGATCTGGTGGTGCGCGCGCCGCGCCCCAACGGTGCGGCGCGGCTCAGCAGCCGTCGCAGAACGACCGCCACCCTCCAGCAGGGAGCGGCACAGCCCCGCGGCGGCGGCGCGCCCGGCGCGACGCCCAACGTGCCCACGCTCCAGAGGGGACATGTGGGCACAGGCATCAGGAGCAGCAGCAGCAGCGACGGCAGCGTCAGCAGCAGGAAGGCCTCCAGCGGCGGCGCTCCGCTGGAACAGCTGCAGGCTGACGTGGCGCTGCTGCTGCGCCTAGAGGCCGAGCTGCTCCAGTCCTCTGGCGCAGCCAAGCCCTCTGTGCCGCCTAGGTGTGCATTCGCCATGCATGCATGTAGGCATGCATGCATGCCCTGCCTGAGAGCATGCATGCATACTTGTATCAGAGGGGCTTGCATGCGGACGCCATGCAATGCCATGCGCCCCCCGCCCTGCGCGCCCTCATGCGCCGCCGGGCGCTCTGCCGGGCTTTGCTGCGCCCTCTTTGCGCCCCCATGCCCCCGCGCCCCAGTCGCGGCCCGCCTCGTCCCCGGCCGCCTCACCACCCATCTGCACACTTGGCCCCCCCCCCCACACACGCAAATTCAGTGAGGACATTGGCATTACCGGCTCGGCCACCCGGCTCCTCTCGCGGCCTGAAGAGCAAGCGCTCGCGCGCCTGGTCGCCTGGGGCCGCGCCGCCCGCGGCGACCGCCGCGGCCGCACCGGGCCGGGGACGGTGGAGTGCCCATATGGCGTCGCCGGCGGCGCGGCGCCTGGCAGCGAGGGGGCTGCCGGCTGGGAGGCGGCGGCGCGCGCGCTGTCTGCAAGGGCCGAAGGGATGCTCGTCAACTGCAACAAAGGGTGGGTGCTCTGGGGTGTGATTTTGGATCTTGGGACACCCCCCGGTCTTGAAGCAGTCTCAGCAGTCTCTGACGAGGGTCTTCCGCAAATCCTGTTTCAGGGGGAGGGAAGGCATGGTGCGCCTGCCAGGCGCGGGG